TTCTTCCACCAGGTGGGATGGAATTCCCACAGGGAATCCTGGGAATCGTGGGATCAGGGGGTCGCTTACTTCTTCCACCAGGTGGGAATTTTGGGATGTTCCCAAAGGGAGTGGCGGGGGAGGGAATTGGGGAGTTAGGGAGTTGGGGAATTGGGGAGTCATAGAATCATGGAATCGTGGAATCGTGGAATCATAGAATCAGTTATGGAGTCATGGAATTATGGAGTCATGGAATCATAGAGTTAATTATGGAGTCATGGAATCATGGAGGCAGAGAGTCAGAGAGTCATGGAATTATGGAATCATAGAGTCATGGAGTCATAGAATCATGGAATCATAGAGTCATGGAATCGTGGAATTATGGAATCATAGTCATGGAATCATAGAATTATGGAATCCTAGAGTCATGGAATCGTGGAGTCATGGAATCATAGAGTCATGGAATCATGGAATTATGGAATCATAGAGTCAGAGAGTCATGGAATCCCAAATCCAGCCTCTCCTCCCGGGGGGGACATTTTTCCAAACCCCCTTGGAGGTGTTTGAACCCCCCTGAGGCCTTTGGGGGGGAAAAATCCACATCTTGGAGCTAAAATTCCAGGGTGGGGCCGCTCCAGGATCTGCTCCTGGAGTTCCTATCCCGTTCCTGGAATTCTCATCCCATTTTTTCCCTGTTTTCCAGGCTGTGGATGATGTCAAGAAAGGCTACATCAAAGCAGAGGAGAAATCCTACCAGCTGCAGAAGCTCTGTGAGCAGAGGAAGATGGTCATGGTGAGGGATCCCACACAAATCCAGGGATCCAGCCTTGGGATAAATCCCGGGATAAACCCTTGGGAAGGGCTGGCTGGGCTCTGTGGGGCTGGATGTAGGAGGGGAATAATGGGATCCTGTTCCCTGTGGGGTCTGGGGGTAAATCCTGGGGGTCTCCAGCCTTGCTGAGGGTCTGGGGCTGCTTTGGGAGGATCCATCCTTGGGATAAATCCCGGGATAACCCTTGGGAAGGGCTCAATCCCCTCTTCTGGGCTCAGCTGGGCTCTGTGGGGCTGGATGTGGGAGGGGAATAATGGAATCCTGTTCCCTTTGGGGTCTGGGGGCTGTTTTTGGGTTCTCCAGCC